ATTGCGCGCAAGTGCATCCTTTATGATTTCTATGCCTCCTCGCTTTGCACGCTTCTAGACCCAACGCTATTTACCAGCACCACTTGCGAGGCCGGACAATGGCACTCAACTCATCTCGAAGTCTGCGTATATCCGCCATTATCGGGCGGGAGCTTTCCGCACCATCGATCCTCCACCTCCGGACCTTGTCCAAAGGGGCCCGGAGTGGTACTTTCGGTGATCCTGTAAAACAAAGCAAGTTGGCACGAGGAAATCAGATCGGGTTGTCAACTGGGATCACCAAATGACCGACACCTACCGAAAGTTCTTGGGTCATCTCTCGCTCTCGAGTCTAGGGGCTCCACCAGCATTCGATCTTTGCTTGTGAGCTAGGATTTTGGACCCAAAGACCTTGTTGGTAAAAACCAGCACTTTTGCTAGCGGGTCATCGACTCGATGGGCTCTCCGTGGAGACGACGGTGATGGGAGAGTCACACATCAAGGACGCACGTTTCCCTCGGTGGATCCACCTTGGAAAGAAGGCTGCTGTGCAAGCCCTAACGGTGAACCCTCTCCTCCGTTGAAAATCACTCAGATCACTCTTGAGTTCGGCCCCGCCTCTTCCACGCCTAGGACTAGAACTTCCCTTCTTCTCGCCGCAACCGCAAAGGGGGTGGAGCCAGGGAAAAGGTCGAGCCGAGTGGTCATAAACATAAAATCACTTCTTCACCCAATTCAGGACGTTGGAAGGAGATCGATGTGAAAGAATGGAGATTTGTCAAACGCCCTTGATCCAAAGTTAGGCTATGGCACACCTTCCTCGATCCGATTGAGGAAGAACGTTGAAGCAACGATAAAACAACACCAAAGTGGGGTTCAATCCCCATGAAGTCTCTCACAATAGGAGATGAACACGCCCGGAAAGCACAATCTCGTTCAGGGTCGTGTGGTGTACCTCGCTGTCCATGGTATCGGAGGAGATCTCGACTTAACTAGTGGATGGGCACCCTAAATCCACAGCGAAAAGAAATCGCATGCAAGACTACAATCTCATTCTAATCATGGGTGGGCAATCTGGCCCAGCCCAAAGGCACATAGGTAATCCGAAGCTCCCTTGGTTCTAGGAATCCCCCAGCACAAGAGATTCTTGATGTCCTCCTACCGTCATTAGTACACACGCCATGGAGAACTAGGGACGAGGACTCAAATCCCCTTTGCTCTTCGAGCTCATATCTTCTTCACTTCTTGAACTAATTGTTTTGGTTTTTCTTGGTCGTAGTCTTTCCTCGGCGCCATGACCTGTTGTCGCCGGAGCGGGATCTAGATGTGACGATTTGCTCAGGTCAAAAAGGTAAGCGGAGGGAGTGGAGCACAATTGCTTTTTGTTTGTGAGCGGCAAGGGATGGATCGTCTCCACCCTCAGTAACCTCACAAGGGCGCCTAATACTAATAAAAACCCTTATGGACCCTAGGCCGAGGCCCAAATTGCTTGGTGAAATTGTGTGGACCAACATTTAAGGCCCCACCAAAGTTCGGACGTAGCCCACCAAAGCGGCACGCGACAGGTGATTCTCAGCCCGAAATCGTGAAAGCCGAACCCCGCCATTTCTAGAGTGAGGGGATCTTGAGGGGTCGCCACCAATCCTAAAACCTCGGCCTCGAGGCTAACGTAAATCTCTCAAATGTTCTTGACAGCTCCAAGTACCTTATTTCAAAGAGACGTGTGCCCCTATGGGGGAAACTAGAAAATTGGTCACCCATGGCTTTAACCAAAGCATCTGAGCTCCTAAAATCTAGAAAAAGAGTTTTATGACGTGCCCTGCATTGGGTCGGGTTTTGTCCACGCTTACGGATAGAGGACGCTCACCTGTTCTACCCATTATTAACTCGACAGAATAGCATGTGACATAACAACGAGGCTTACATGTCGGGAGAGCACATGTGCTCACTATTTGCCCAAGTGATCCTTGAGCTTTGTGATTCTTTGGCTTAAGAGCCATGAGCGACCGCATTGGATTTGGAGTAAAATTTCAGATCGAGTCGCTTGCATAACTTGTAGTCATACTAATTACCCATCGTGGTAGAAAGGGCAAGTAAAAATGCAAGGTCGGATTCGACTAAACGAAAATCTTCAAACCAACGATTTAATTCGGGACACGGGTAGTAGTGTTCAAAATCAACAAAAGTCATTCTTTTCGATTAAACCGCCGCATTTACATCCCTTGGTTTACAATAATCAAAATCTATCAAAAGCGCCACAGTTATGACAATCCTTCTAAGCATAGGGATAAACACGCCCACTCAAAGCGATGGACATCTCATGAAGCGTAGAAAGGTCAGACGAAGGCGCACTCATGACCCTCACCTTGCCTTCAACCTTCATGAGCACGGACGACGCATGGTAGACACCTTGAGAGTCCCACCTCATGGAGCTTCCTCTAACATCCAAGAGGAGGAGAAGCCCCATGAGGAGGCGGCTCACGCCATCTTCTACTGGCATCGGGGAGGAGCAAACAACGTCGAGTAGGTGGCATCAAGCCTTGAATCGATACACGCGAGATCACCCAAGTCAAGATCTATGGGGGAAAGGAAGCTTCAGTAACGACAAGCTACCCTTTGCCCTCCAGATTCTCTCATGATACTCAGAGCCAGAGGCTCCCTAGCGTGATCGCTGATGAACCCAGTAGTGTCAGTCCCTCGGTGACTCGGGCAACCAATGGTATTGTTCCTCCCCATCTTCATGGAACTACCTCTAACACCCTAGGAGGGCAGCCGCCACCGGTGGCTGTGGAACCCAATGCCTTGAAAGCTTTCTCCCAAAGCATTTGCCAAGCGACCAATGAAAACTACCATGAACCATAAGCGCCACACCAGTAATCGCCACTCTTGCACTCCGTCTAAGGCTAGGGATTTGGGGAAGAAAGAAGAATTGAACTCAAGCGCCTCCTACCTCCACCGCTAAATAAGCGCCCTAAGGATGGTGGTAGGGAGTGGGTGGTTGGCATTAAAACACACTTAGGTATTGAGAGGGTTCACAAAGTAAAAGCTTGGGATGCACGGAACGATCTTGAGTTCCGAGCACCACTATCATTATCTTTACAGGATTCAAGGACGCGCATGTGATGCGTTCAAGCAGGAGGAGACTTCCATCCGAAGGAATCCCAAAACTTGGGAAGGCATTACCGCCGGTCTGACACGACACTGGCCGTCCCGATACTGGACCTTTTGACTATATTCAAGCATCTCGACTCGAGAAGTGTTTATTGGGACCCTCGATACCTCGGACGTTATGAGGACTCACGGCGCAGAAGGATGGTACAGCTCTCTGAGCCCGTCATTATATCCTCGTAGGCTAATGCTAGAGATATGGGGCCCGGTACCCTCACCGACCATATATCCGGCCCATCAGCGGAGGGACTAATCGAGGAGGAAGCTCTGCGGGCTAAGCACATCCACCAACTTGGAGATCACGACATACATCAAGGATATCGCCGCCATCACAGCCTATGGTAGGATAGAATTGATTTGTTGTAACCAACTAGGAATGCAATCAGAAGCGCCGATCGCCCTCGTTGTAACCCTACCCATCCGCTTATAAAAAGAGGTAAGGACTCATGATCAAATCCGTCACCACGCACACCATCGTCTCATTCTAATCTACCTCGTAGCTAGGAGCAACAACCCACAGCAACCAAGTATCTGAATACAAGAAGAGTAGCAAAGCTGAGCGTCACGGCATTTACTGCGGCTTCGAGGAAGCGGACGATGTAAATCTTTATGTCTACGTGTGCAACCATCTAGATCAATCCACGTGATCACGTTGCTAGGTATTGCGGAGCTAAATAACCGACACACTGGTATATTGGGTTGGGTGTTAGGGAGACATGGCCGAGCCTTGAGAGTCGACTCCTTGCTTTCATTTTCCCTCGAAGCTCCCTAAGGACTTGTTCTTAGTTAGGAATCTACCGAGGAATCGTTCAGCTCATCAAACGTTATATAAATTCCCAGTGGTAGGAATTGTTGCAGGCACAGTTCCTAGGTAACCGCATAAGGGTCTATTCATTTTCTCGAAATCATGCTCTGGAAGATATCCACTTGGAACGACATGCTAATTTATATAGCAATTGAATAGCCGGAACAAATCGCCTCGTTCCGAAACAACCGAATGAGCCCCGAAAGCGTGCATAAAGGCTTCATGCCACCGCAAATCACAGGATTTGCGTCACCGAAGCCATCGATCATGATCCATGAAACCTAACTGGCTAACTGTGTATGGAGTAGATTATTTCGGCCAGCAGCTAGACCCGGTGTCCGGGAGACCAGGGGCCATAGGTGTAAGAACCAAGACAAGAGAACAATTCTGGAATGATTCCAGTGTCTGGCTCCAGTCCCCGTCGTCCCTGCGCCCAGCGTAGCACATCACTGGGGCGCGTTGGTAACCCCGTCGACGTCCTCGCGCTTCTCGCCGTGCGCCGGTTTCCCTCACCTCTTATTCGCGCCACGCCACGCCGATGCCAGTGCCCACACACCGACACACACCGCCGCGTCCACCTCCCGCTCTGGCCCCAGACCAGATCACCACGGGCATGGAAACCTCGTCGCCTTCACTCGCCTCGTCGCCGGGAGCCACGCTCTCCGCCGTGATCGCTGAGGACCGCCGCCGGAAGGCCCGCCGCCGCCGCCAGGGGCCTTCGGACAGGGCGGTCTCTCTCCCGTACCTCGTCCCGGCTTGCGGGCGTCCGGCCGGCCAGATGGGCGGCAGACCGCTGCACTCTGAGCTCATGATAAACTGCACCGCTGGGGCGCCTTCCTGCCCAAGGGCGGCGGCGCCGCCGTTGCGCGCGCGCCAAGCCCGCCACCACGGCCTAGACCGTCGATGGAACCGGCTGCAGCGGCGGCGGAGGAGGCGGAGGCGGAGGTGGTGCCGCGCCACGAGGCGCCCGCCGTGAGTGTCCCCGCGAGGAGGCCTTTGAGGGAGAGAGAGGAGCCGGCGGCGGGATCCAGCCATTGCGGAAGCGGACATGTCCGCCGGTGAGGGCGTGGGGAGCAGCGACCGGGCGACGCCGTTCGCTACCGTCGCGGGAGGAGGGTGGGGAACCTGGCTCAGAGTTTCGCCCAAGACGACAGTGAGGTCTCCGTCACTGCAGACGGACACGAGCAACGAGTCCCCTCGGTCCCTCGCCGACTCCCCCGCATTGGCCGCAGTGGCCGACGACAAGTACATGTGGGCGGACAAGTACCGGCCCAATCTCCTCAACGAGTTCATCTGCAACAAGACCGTCGCCGACGAGCTCTACCAGCTGGTGATCACACGACCACATTGCAAACGTTGCTTCGAGTTGGCTTGCAGTTTCGTCTCAGAGCAGCTTTTAGGATTGTGGTGAAGTTCATTTGAATTTGATACATGGACAAGTTGGTTTGTTGCATGCAGCTTGTTGCACACCAGTGCAGCCATTTCATCTTTGAAGGTCCGCCGGCGGTTGGGAAGAGAAGCATGGTACTAGCACTTATAAGGGATGCTTTTGGCCCTCATGATCTCAAGGTCACTATTACAAACTTGGCTTAAGTTACTAATCCTCATTCTAATCTAACAAGCTAAATGGCTAAACCTTGGTTCACAATTGCTTATGTTTGGTTCATTCTGACATGACGCAGATAGAGGAACAGACAAAGAGATTTGAGCTGAAGGTATTTTATATGCAAGAACGCGGTTTCCCATATTTTAAATCCCTTGTCACTTTCGCTAAAGTTATCAAGTTCCTTTTTTCCTTCGTTGAAGTGACAAAGTTGTTGCTATTGTTGTGAATTCATAAAATGCAACCAATTCTAGAATCATCACTGACCTATTACCTATTTGACACTACAGGGAGAAGTTAGAAAGCACATCGATGTCAGAGTGAAGACCTCCGAGCATCATGTGGAGGTGAGCTTGGCTGATTTACATGGCTATGAGAAGTACGTCATAACTACTTTGTTGAATGAATTCATCCCATCACCAAACTCAGCTTGTGACCATACTAACTGCAGAGGTAACATGCAATATTTTGTTAATAAAGCTAGGAATTTCAAACAATTACATGCTCAGCATTGATTTGGCAGCATTTTTACATTGTGTGTTCAAGCATCAGTTGTTTACATACGTGCAGTTATTGTTATCCATGACGCTGATAAGCTCTCGTCCGATCTTCAACATTATATCGGTTGGTTTTTGGGGAGGTATGCCGGGTGCAACAAAATCATTTTCTGCGGTTCTGACGCTTCTAATCTTGAAGGCATCAAACATCTCTGTAAGGTTGTGACTCTTCAGCCACCTTCCTGTGACGAGGTACTTCACTACACAACTTGTTGATCAGTGTTATATCTATGATTTTTTTCACTTATTGCACTAGACTGTTTGCTGAAAGATGGTTTGCTCTTAGATAATAGAGGTTCTGGAGTACATTGCAACGCATAAGAGACCATTGATTTGCCTCGTGATCTTGCTAGGAGAATTACAGTTGGTGCAAGAAATAATCTCCGACAGGCAATACGCTCTTTTGAAGCTACTTGGAAGGCATAGTAAGCACCTTAAGTAGATATTTCATCTTCCATTTTATACATAAGAAATAAAATTTTAAATTCGGATAGTAGGAATTTGGAGTTGTCATAATATTGGTTTGCATTTTTTTAGATGAAGTATAAATTCCGGCCTCTGCACCAACTCGGATGCACAGCCATTAAACTTTCAAACGTCTAAATATGTGTGCTGATATTGCCATGTGAATAAAAAAACAATTGTGTATTATAGTTTTACAATGTGACTTTACTCCCCCTTGATTTCTGAACATTGCAACTGGTATGGCATTTTTTTCCCGTAAAATACTGATCATTCATCAATTAAGGTGTATGTATATTTTGTCATTGTTGAGATGATTATGTTTTGAAACTGTGTTTGTATGACATTCTTTTTTCCCGTAACAGTTATTGATCATTCATCAGTTAAGGTGTATGTATATTTTGTCATTGTTGAGATGATTAAGTTTGAAACTGTGTTTGCACGACATTCTTTTTTATGGAAGTTACTGATCATTCATCTCAAAGGTGCATGTATATTTTGGCCCTTGTTGAGATGATTACTTTTTTGCATAATGCTGAAATGAAGTGGCTGTTGGTGGAACTTCTGCATTTATCAATAAATCCACTTATAAACGCAGCTACCGTTCATAGACGGTCAAGTTATTTTGACAGGATGGGAAGAGGAAATCTCTAATGTGGCCAGAAATATCATGGTGGAGCCAAGTTCAAAGCAGTAAACTATTCCTTGTGCCCTGATGTCTCATAGTTTAGCAAATGTGATTCGGGAAATGTTTAAACGTCTTAAGAGAAATGTTTTGTTTTGCTATGCGTACAGACTGTTTGCTATCCGGGGAAAGATCAGAAAATTGATTGAACATGATGTGTCACCTCATTTCATTTTCTCTGTAAGCTTTGCTTCATTATGAGTCTGTAATTTCTTTATTTCAGTAGCTTGTTTTTGTCAGATTGTATAACTATTCATCCTCCCTTTTTGTTATCCTTTACCCTTGACATGTAGCACCTGGTAGCTGAACTGAAAAGGGACAAGGATGAAGACTTCAACACAGTGTTGATGAACTGGCCTTGGACTTGAACCATGTAACCAATGTTAGCATCTGCAATGATCGTCCTTTTTTTTCATTTTTTCAGACACCCATGTTGTGTCGACTGACACACATTGCTTTGTTTGGTTCCATCTGGCTAGTTTAAAGACTGCAAGCTTCTAAAAGGGCAGCGCAAAGGAACAAATCACCGAGGCATATTTGAAAAACGAAAATATGAACATAGAAGATTTTTGCCACGGAGGTTCATGACCATGGTGAAACCATCCAATGCTTCATAAAGATTGAAGGTATTAGCAATTCTTTCCATTTCATTTTTTATTCTGAACTTCAGTCTAGTGAAGCAACTTAAACCTTGCGATCCCGGCAGAATTCACCGTGAGGTTCCTGAGCTTCTACAGATCTATAGTGGCAAAGAACTCGAATAGAGGCAGTGCTCAATGAAGAACGACTCATCGCTTGTTTCTAAAGATCCCCTTGTTGGGGCTCTTGTACCTTTGGTAACTAAATAAGATGCGGTGTGTCTAATGTCTTCATATATTGTAAAATTTACCTGTATATGATGATCCCGTTTGTATGCACTTATGCCATACAGTTTCACATACATATCTTACTATCATATAAAAATAAAATTGTAATATGAAAAAAGATGACCTGTGGTTTGAAGATGCTAATGGAAAAAAACTATACTCATCGTTGAACCGTTAGTCAAATATATTGCCGTATGAATAACATTTCCCTTTTTGGCATGTCAAAATTTCTTTTCGTTTTGAAACACTTTTGGATACTTTTGCTCCTTCGTCTACAGCATTTAATTAATTGTTTAGAATCAAGAATGCACCTGCATCCGTATAATGGAGTTTAAAATTAGTATTGTCCTAACTTTAGAATAGCCATGTTTGTGTATGGCTATCAATCATCAGAGTCCTGGTTGGCTGGTTCGAGTGTCTCCTGTTCATAGCTCAAAACTCAGAACGCTGCGGCTTGAACAATTTACAATTCCGATTTTCTGTATTGTACTAATGAAAAATATCTACATTTTCGTATCAAAATAAAATATTTACTTTCCATCAATGCATGAATTAGCATGCTTGTACATATCTGTAATTGGGTATGAACGTCTGCTTCAGGGCTGGTCTGCTTTGTTCATTCATTCAGCATATATAGAAAATTCACATACCAAAAAAATTCACATTCACATTTCTAAATTCCTGCAACACCCCGGCCATGAGCTAGCTATCTTCTCAAACCTTACACAACACTAAAAAAACAAAAGAAAAAAGAGAGAAAAGGATCTAAACAAGAAGCCGGTGGCCTGGCAGGCACTCGGCGGTTAGCCAAGATGTTATGTCACCGGTCAGGGCGCGATTGCACACCACCGCTCGCCGGGGGTGATGTCGTATGGTCTGTGTCCGCCACCGCCGCCGTGCTGGCTCCTGATCGTCTACCACGATCGCGATGCGTCCACCGTCGCCGCAGCGGGGCGTGGCAGGCGCGCGTCCAGTTCGGAGCGGCACACGGGCACGTGGTGTGTGCGCCGAGCCACGAGTCGATGCACGCCGTATGGAACGCGTGGCGACAGACGGTGAGCAGGCGCACCGCGTCGCCCGCGGCGAACTCCGACAGGCAGACCGCGCATTCAGCCTGCCCCGACGCGGGCTGATGCGTCTCCTCGAACCACCGCACCGTGGGGAACGTGGCGAGGACCGCGGGGTCCAGACCGGCCGGCTTGTGCGGCGCATGCGCGTCCGGCGTGGTGTCGGCGCTGGTGCTGGGGCCGGACGCGGCGTCCGCATCGGCAGCGGCGCGGAGGCGGCGCCGGCGGCGCAGCCAGAGGGAGAAGAAGTGAAGGAGATCGCGCAGGAGGAAGATGGAGAGGAAGCAGAGGAGGAGCACGAAGAGGATGAACACGGACAGTAGCATGGGGAACGACTCCGCGGCGGCCGTGGCCGCGCCGGGGCACTCGCCGCACCTTCGCCGTGGTGGGCGCGATGGTCGTGGTGGGTGCCATTGCCAAGGAGGCGGCGCGCGGCCGTGGCCACGACCGTGTCCATGGGCGCATGGGCAGGGACGATCGGGGCCAAGGCTTTTAGGCGTCTCGTGGTGCTCGCGGGCGGGCGTTGGTTGGGCGTCGTCGGTGTGCAGCAGCGGGTGGAGGAGCCGTGGGCTTTACGGTGAGGCGAAGGCGACGCCGGGACGGCACGACACCGACATGTACCGCGCGTGCACGGGCACCGCCGCATGGCCCCCGCCGGCCGGTGGAGACGTGATGCGACGTGTAGGGGAAGGGGAAGGCAAGGCGGGCGAGGTAGCCGCGCGGTCGTGGCTGGTGTCATATGACATGTTTGGTGGGCGCGCGCTGCTATATTTGAGCTGCGTTCCCGTTCTTGTTCTCGTTCTCCTTTTCGCCTGTCGCTGGTCGCTGACAGTTGCCGCGCCCACATCTGACAACGACGAGTAGCGAGATCAAACAAGCGCAGCGTGGGCGCCATGCCGGGCTTTACCCCCTCTATTGGGCCTGTTTAGAACACAGTAATATAAAACACAGGAATTGAACCAAACATAGGAAATAGACATGAATGTAGTATTAAAACAGAGGAATGAAAAACATAGAAATTTTTGAAACATTGGCGTTTGGAACACAGGAATGGAAAACCGTGCTAAAACTTGAGAGTATAAATATTAACGTATATTATTAGGCTTTTATATATAAGATTCCGGCCAGCTTGCATGCCACCAGACATGCTAACAATGCCTCATTGTGCTTCATTGCATTGGACTTCGTGAAGGAAAGAAAATCAAGAGATAAAACTGGATGTTTATTTTCCTCCAAAACGTACAGGTACAAGAAACTTTCTTTGGAAAGGAAGTGACTAGTCCTCCATTCCAAACGTTGCTACATGAGCAAAAATATAGGAATGATGAATCCTTTAGAATTCCTTTGGAATTCCTGTAATCCAAACAGCCCCTATATGGCTCTATGGCAACGTCAGAGATTTATCACGAACATGAGTATTTCCAGTGGTACGGACGGACCTCTCTGTGCTGAACCGATGAGTTAGACAAAACTGGACGTTGTGCCGTCACAAAATGTTGTGATAAAGAAATTTCTTTTTGTGGTTGTGTTTCATACGGTTTTTTGCCCTTTCAGAATCATACGGTTTTTTGCCCTTTCGGAAGTTATTGTACTTGGCTAGCTTCCGCTCTCTTCGTGATGCTGAGTTTTACACAATGGCTAGCACTAGTTTTTTTATACGCAAAGACGTCATAGTTCATCTAATCATCTTAAAAAAAACAAAATTCCAAAAAAGAAAATTACAAGCAGTTCTGAAGTCCTTTTCTCCACCACAATCATTGCAACTATAGTTAATCAGTGTTGTTCCTAGTCACCATCGATCATGCAGTAGATGGGAAAGGAGCAAAATTAAAAAACCAAGTGAGATCTAGATGAACGTAGATTGCACAAATGCATGGCTTTTAAAGGTAGCAACAATGGGCCGTCATGAAAAAAGGATCCATTGAAACACTACCATCTATTCCATCGGGACAACAATGCCATGAACATGAAACCCACAGAGGCGACATACAATTGCGCCCATGTAATCTAAATTGAGATGACCAAGGAACTAACAACAGAAGATCTGCCATCACCGCCACCTCCGGACGAATGCGAGGATAGATGAAAACCGCTACCCCTTCTTTCAAGCTTCCATATGTATCAATTTGTAGAGGAATTTTAATAGGGTTTCATGCTTCAAGCAGCGGTAGCGGGACTTCGAATTCACCCCACCACCGGTGCTAGATCCGCCCACCGCTCGTGAGAGCGCTTGAATCGCCACTACGGCCTTTGACGGTTGGATCAAGGAAGTGCGAACGAGCAACGACTTGAGGAAGAGTTAGGTCTAGAGGAACAAGCTAGTGTGGGAAAGCTCGAGCAGCTTGCAGTGATGGAGAGACAA